AGTCATTGCAGGGAGCATTGATTTTTTTTTACATAAAACTAAGTCATTTTTCAGTTTGATTTGATTCAAATTTAGAAATGAGTTTATTTTGATTGTGTTTCAATAAAAGCAAAGCAATCTTACACTAGTTAAAATTTTAGTATATGTATTTTATAATTTTACAACAGCATTTTATCTTGTGATTCAAGTGTTGTAACGTTGTATATGCTTATATCAGGAGACAGATAATGGAGAGTTCCTCAGCTAGGCTATAACTCCCTGTTCTTGTCCATCGTTGTTCGTCTTGAGTCGATCGTATTTTTAAAAGAAGGATGATTAAAAGCATTTTAAGCTTTTCCCTTTGAATCTCTAAACCATTATTAATAATTTTTGGACATACATTGTATATATAGTCAATGGATAAAGGGATACAGATATTGTGATTGTACTCATTTAGTTAATGATTGCTACTCCGGGACACATAATCCCTACTCTGACGGTTTAAATGGTCTCTGCTTAATGGCCTAGTAAATAATTTGCATGAAAAAGTCTTCAACACTCGACTTGAGGATTTATAAACAAACCTTTTTTTTCAGAAACCAGCAAAATTTCTCTTAGATCAAATAGGTAATCTGAATTATTATAATTTCTGGTTAAAGTGGGAGAAATTTGTAAGATTTTGTCACAATGTACAGCACTACCTGAAAGGGATTCGCGGAAAAAACAAAATGGCGGATTCTTAAAGTATCAAATGACAAACGATTTTCATGTTAGAATTCATTTATTATAGACTAAGTTAGTGTTATCTGTCGTATACTTATCACATGACCAATGACCTAATCTGATTACGTCTCAATGTTTTCGTGGTTGTTATTTGTCCATCGGTGTTTTCCAACATGACACCCTAGCAGTAAGAAATAAGTAATTACGTTAAACATTGGTTCTTGATTTAAAACACTAATATAAACATACAACAGGGGCACATAAACTGAGAGGTTGTTGAATTTATCGGAATTGAAAATTCGTTTCAAACAGAAAACTTTATAACCACGGGAAATGTTGAAAATTTACCTCGAATGGGCAGGCAAACAAAAGTAACGAAACGAGCAGAGGGTATAAAGGAACTCCGAGAGATCAGGCTTTTCTAACCCTTACCCCCGTGTGAACATTGAAAGATATAACTTCGATCAAAAGTATTAAAGTAAGTGATAATGATTTTGTTAAATTATTTATTTCACCAAAAACCTTTCAAAAGGTGTTTGTTTCCAAATGTCCACCATTTTGATTTTCCAAGAATACTTTTGAAACAGCGCTGTAAATAGATCCCACTGCAGCTCTTTGTTATTGCATGATGAAACTGGGAGATATATATTCCAGTATGCAGGTAACAAGAGTCTATTTCTAGACAGAAGGATTTTAAAATATGTCTTTTTAATATCTTTTTAAATCCTGTCCAGCAATGGTTAACCCACAGAATCTTCTGAATGACTTATTTCAAATATGAATTATTCATGCACATCATACCTGCAGATTTCACCCAGATTCGCCTATCACTAGTTTTTTTTACTCAGTGTACATTGGGAAACAAAGAAAGAAAATTGTTATTTATATATTAAAAAAAAAAAAAAAAAAAAAAAAACAGGCCAATTTTCTTAAATTTTAAACATAAACGAGAATTTTACTGCGCAGTCATAAGATTAACGAAGCAATTACTAAAAGTTGTATCACGGTAGGTGACTAGAAAACCTTATTTAAGACTTTTGAAGCTTTTTAACAGTCTAAATATCTGTCTTTTTTTTCAGAATTTTAATTTTTTTTCTGACTGAAGTATTACAATTCATTTTATTTTTTTTTTTAAAAACGTCTCTGTAGTATGTCGGATATTAATGAGGGCTTTAAAACTGTCTACGCATTTAAGCTAGCAGGTATGAGAAACAATGCAAAAACCACAGGCGTAACTTCCTTGAGAAGAGTAGGATATTGGGATATCGCAGGACTTTTTATTCAAATATACCCACCCTCCATTCTTACAAAGCCGCTACCACTTTGGTACTAGATACTTGCAAGTCATTCACCTCAGCTTGTGAAAACATTCTTTTTTGGGTTTTTCCTGTCTGCGCTCATTATTTTTAATAGCTCGGTGCTCTAAGACGTTTTATGACGTTAACGTTCTTCGCTTTAAGGTAGTCTGATCCTCAAGTTTATACAATAGCATTTAGGTAAAGATACTCATGAAAGTATCTATGAATCCACAAAGTTATGTAAATTTATCCATAGTATTTCTTTAAAGTTAAAAATTACAGTTAATCATAGTATATAGGGAAAATTGTCAAATCTCAAATATGTTTGCAGGAAAAGCGAATTGGAATATCAGTAATGCATTTTCTAATTGCAAATTGATCAACAAATATATTTTAGGTTAAAATTCTATAGGTATCTAGGCATTCAGAGAAATCGTTATGATTTTTTACTTATTTGGTCTTTTTTTTTTGTCTTCTACTTTCGTCATGTATTCTATAATACATAGTGTAATGGGATTTTGCTATCATTGCAAGACACAACAAATCACTTCATATTTCATATCATGCTAATAAGCATTGGTAAATAAGGCTGGACTCAAGAAAATCTTCTCAAAAACAGTATTTTTTTCCTTTTATAGGGTACAAATGTAAACTTTTGTAAGACCTTTTTCTAAAACCTTGAAACTTAAATAGATGAATAAAATGATTATTGTTGCATGAAAAAATTTCATTTTCAAGCTTCTCTTTGACGCATTTCAAATCAAATATTTATTTTTGGAGTTACCTTTCCTTGCTTATGATCGGATATCCTTAAAATTTTATGCCTTGTTCTAAGATTTGTATTTTGTATGTCTTTTAAGATCAAACATTGATCATTATCTTCACTCCCTTTTTTCATTATATCATCAGTCGTAAACTTGACGGTGAAGTAAAGTGGTATTCAATGTTTATTTTTAATAATAATTTGAAATTTTTACTAGTGACATATGTTGCTATTAATTATGTACCTGGTTGATTATCAGTATCAAAACAACAACACAAAATTTTGTTGTTTTTTTTTTCTTCTAGCGTTCAACCGTTCCAATTATGAAAAGTGAATCAGTATTTTACGGCGGAGAGAATGAAACGTAATGCAAATAACAGGGTAAACTTGTCAACAGATAACATAAGGAGGAACTATAAGTTTCTGAAAACTCAAATGGAACCAAATATTCTAGTAGATTATCTAGTACAGGGCAGTATTTTGAACGAAGATGAAAATTCCTTTCTTATCGGCAAACCTCGAGCAAAAAAGTGTGATTTTATTTTACGTAAATTATTACAGCATGAACCTTATTTGACAACATTATCAACCATGATAACAGGTAGTCCTGAAGAGGAAGGATTTCATTGTTTTCTTTCTCTTCCACCTTTCGAAGCAGCTGCATGTGAAAATACCATTGAGAAAGGTATATTTATTCAGTGAAATATGTATTACTAAATTTCAAGCCTATTTCTTTTTTATTTTACCTTTTCAAGATTTGTCATTTTGTCCACAAGAAATTATAACTTAAATTCTTAAAGAAAGTTAAATTCTTTAAAGATTACTCATTTATTGATGAGACCTCGGACACCTTTTCAAAAAAGGAACGTCTTTCTGGTAAAGTGCGAACCAAACAAAAGTGGTTTCTGACACTCGCTTCTGTTGGTACCCACGAGTTGTTTAATTAATATATTTTTTTTAATACAACGCAATAAAATCAATTTTCGGAAAGAAAATTGACCAAATAGACCATTGATTTTTTTTAACTCGAAAAGTGCCAAATATCAAATCTTTACTTGTAAATATCTGTTTACTTGGCAATTTTCAAATGATACAAGATTTGCTGGAAAGGTAAGTGGACTATTTTTAAAAGTATGTTCTTTCCCCAAAAGAATTGATGAAGCATTTTTTATGGCTTTAAAAAACAACCAGAAATGACTTTAAGCTTAAAAATTATTATCTTATTTATTATATGTTTACCTATTTATCCTGTGGATATGACCCATGCACATTTTTTTCATTACACAGTTAAGTGAAGGTATAACGTCACAATGGTTGTTGTGTTACCGTGATGAAGTAAAATAAAGTGGAGTCCTATATAAAACAGTGTATAACATCAGCTTTGAAGTATTAAACATGGGATAAAAAGAATCTCCCATGATTTGTAGCTGGATATGACATTTATCCAACTTGTGTGTTGGGGATGCTCGGGGATAAAAATCACACAACTCGCTGGATAAAATTCATATCCACCAACAAGTCATGGGGGATACTATATTTATATTTAACCTTCAATGACTATAAGCTCTACAAAAATAATAATTTCGTTTAACGTTTAAGAGGTTCATAAACAAAAAAACTACTTCAAATGTACACAAATAAAGAGAGAAAATTAATTCAGAGCACAGTGTTTTAATCCTTGTTATAAAGTATCGTTTACGTGAAAAAGATTTGTCCACTAACCTTACTCGCACTGTCATAATAAAACTTTATATTCCATCAAGAACTCGCGACACTTTACATACATAGGAAATTATAAACGATTAAAGAATAACAGATATACATTTGTACTTATATTCATATCAGTTATGTTACATAAAGTAGTCTTATCTGTGTTTAACATGTTAACTGCAAATATAAATAGATCCAATAAAATATGCAAAGGAAGTATAACCTAAAACAGTTACTAGTTTGCTCCTCATATGTATTCAACCAACAAGCAACCCGATTGAATTAAAAAAAAATATAGAGAATTTATTACATCATAAACGAATAAATCAACATACTTAAACGTTCAGTTTATCTATGCTGCCTCATTGATGTAAACCAATGGTAGAGGGTGTCCGATACCAATTTCTCGATTTGCAATTTTCCAGCGGTGCGAGAAGAAATCAAAAGAATATTTATTATTTATTGCATTAAAAGGAGACCTGACTTCACTTTGAAATGCAACTAATAAAGCCATTCTTGTCTTTAAGTTCTTCACTCCAAATGTTTGGACAAAGTGTTGAATAAAAATATATCTGAGCTTGAAAGGGAAATCATGCTCCGGATATCTGGTGAGAGTGACAGCATTGTTGACGATTTCTTGGAGGAAAATGTTCTCTCTGTGGATGACCATGAAGAAATATCAACCGAGATAAAGAAATCCAAGGCTGCGAATTTGCTTCTAAAAAATATATCAAGCAAATTACCCAGATCATTCCTTAAACTGCTTTCAATCCTCAAAGAACATAAAATAAACGACCTTGGTGATCGTCTTTTGAAGGACATAGACAAGACTGATTGGGGGACAACAGGTAAAAAATTGTTCTACAGTTTTTGTCTTTGTTTTGTTTTTTTGTTATGAGAAAAAAAAGCTGATGAGGTTTTGATTACTAGTATATCAAGTTTGAAGTATCTTATTAATGCGAATCTCTTTTTCAGAAAAGGAAGAATTAAAAGTTGAGTTTATAGGTGGCGATATGCATTTTTCTCTCATAGGTATTAAAGCAGTTACTATATTTGAAAACTATATTTTAGCGACAAAGCTATTTGTAAAAAGTAAGCATATATCTGACCAAAGACATAAACAAATGAATTTCTAATTCCAAGCAATGTTTCGTTTGTAAAGTAATTTGTTGTTTATTATTAATTAATATAAGATTGGTTTTGAATTGCGAGCCAGAAAAGCCAGAATTATTCATCAATAAACAAACTGATTAAGAACTTATTAATGTATTTGCTTAGATCACAATGAATCCATTAATTATTTTTAGCGCCAAAAACAGAAATAAAGAAAATCAAAATGATAATCTCAGGTGATGATGGAAATGAAAGAGTGTTTGAGAAAGTGATAAAAGAAATCCCAAACTCTGAGGAAATGATTGCTCAAAGAACACATTGTACTTTTGCGAAAACATCATTAGGATCAATTACTACTATTCTGCGAATAGAGACTTCCTACGCCATGTCAAAATTAAAACAATTCATAGAAAGCGAGGGTATTTCCCTATTATTGACGCAAATATTTGAATCAAAGGATGTTCGAGCAATTTTGGGGAAAAGAAAGTGCAACATTGAAGTTCAGATTAGAGAAGTGCAAGAAACAACAGGTATAAATGTATTTTTAAAGAAAAACATTAAACTAACCCACAAAAGTAATTCTAAAAACATAACCTTTTATTTTCAATATGGTTCGACAGAAATTCAGGAATGTATTTTTGTATTCCAGATACAACATGTGATGAATTTCAGTCGACCGATTCTCAAGCATCTGAATCTACGTACAGGTCGCGTTTGGAGAGATGTAAAAACTTCCTTTTGGAAGAACTAGAGCCAAGATGCTTACTTAAGGAAAAAGAAGTTGCCGATATTTTTGGTCCGGTTTTTAAAAAGTTCAGCCAGCCAGAGTTGAGAACGACAAAAGCTGAAGTCTTCTTGGAGTATCTAAAAAATCAGTCTGAGAAAGAAATTGAAGTTGTTTTAAAAACACTTAAAGAGAAAAACAAGTATATTTATGACCAGCTGTTTCCAGAAACAACAAAATATCAGGATATTGGTAAATATATCAAATCGTTTTAATTAGATATAAAAGTAAAACATAAATGTAGAATATGCCATTTAAAAACTTATGGTTGCATTACCTTTGTTTATATTACGTATATTACTGAAAGATTATAGACCAGTTAACGTGTTTCTATGTGTTCTTTAAATATTGAAATATGAAGGATATGGAGATAACGAACTGTATTCAATCACAAAGTCCATAAAACAATAAAAAAAATAAGAGCAGAGCAAATACGGACCTCCGATTAGAGGTGGGATCAGGTGCCATGGAGGAGTGAGCATCCCCTGCTGACCCAAATATGAGGACAACATACTGTAGTCACGCTTAAAAAAACCATTGAAACAATACAAATTGTAAGCAGATCAAACAAAGACCTAAAGACCTAATATTTAGGATCAGGTGTCATGGTGGAATAAGCATCCCTTGCCGACAGGACACAGTCACCATGTACTTCTTGTCATGATTGTGGAAATGGGAAAATTCTTCGACAATTCTGTGTTTAAATAATGGTTCAACAATTTGTATGAAATGCAGACAGCATATAAAGTAATGAAATATAGTACTGTTAATAAGACCATTGTTTTAACCTTAAGATTGCGAATTGATGACTTTAAACGGAAGGGTTGGTATTGTGGTAACAACTTTTTTGTCAATATTCTGTTAGTTGATAGTTAGTAGATGTCATCTTAATACGTAGAAAAAGTGAAATATGCTCGTATTCATTACATTTTTTATCCTAATGTTTTGTTATTAGGTTACATTTAAGGTCTCCTTCTGAAAAAAAAAATCAACAGATGAAACAGATGTTTCTAAAACTTTTAAGACTTTATTTAACATTTAAACAAAATCTTAAACATTTAATGATGATAAACAATCTTCGTAGACCATTTTTCTTTTCATAATAAAGCCAAAAATTGTTTCAATTTGAATTGGAATGAAGAAAAAAAGATTAATTTCAGACATTAATCAAGTCAAAGGAAATATTTTGGACAACTTACGTGAGCTATTGGATACAGTGAATATTCGTTCAATCCAGACCCCTCTGTTGAGTGCTGGGATGATATCTCCAGAAGAACTGGAAATTATTTACAAGAGCAGTAAAAGTTGTAGGATAGAAACTTTGCGATTTCTTAAATTGATTTTACATAGAGGAGAAGAAGCAATGAAAGTTTTCCTCTCAGCTCTGGAAATTTTCTGTGGAGAATGTAAAGCTCAAAATCTTCTACAGCTAAGGAGTGTCCAAAAGACAAATATCAGTAAGTTAATGAGAGATTTTGGTACATGTATTTGAGAAATTTAAATCAAAATTCAATAACTCTCATATCTTTCAATTCATACATTATACATCTCTGAGTCAATGGTGCTTCCATAATTTTACGACAACTTTCCTTGTTAATTGATAATTTAGTGGTTGAAAATAAACAGTTTTATATAAAGTAGCAAACACACAAAATATTTACCTTTTTACACACATGATTTAAAATCTAAAATATCTAAAATTCATCAGATGAAAGAGGGCACGCAAAGATTGATTACAAAGCCTTCAATGAAGAAAGTGGATTGATGTTTAAAGGAAATTTCATGCTAGAGCTCATTAGAAAAGGTATGTAAAAATAAAATTTGGGTTCTGATCATTACCCAAAATAGTCATATTAACAAGAAATAGGTTGATTTCTAACAACAAAACTTGTGTACTATAGTCGACAGCAAGAAAGAAGACAAGAATGTTTGTACTGAAGACAAAAGCCCAACAAAGGATTCGTATTTGGAAACAATCGTTCAGGGAAATTTGACTGAGTCCGTAAGTTTTTATTCTTTATAATACCAGTTTCATTTATCAGTCCTCTTGATACTTCATAAAAATCCTTATAAACAAATATACATTTCGGGTTATACTGTATATAGGGAAATTTTCGCCCCCGTTTTATTTTCGCCCCTTTCGCCCTTCCCTCATTTGGGCGAATTTAAAATGGGGCGAAAGGAAATAGCACAGTTAAATTTCTTTAATACAACTATGATTTGGCAAATCTAAAACGGGGAAAATTTGTTTGCAGGTGTGAAAGGGCGAAAATTAAACGGGGCAAAAATAACCCTGTATACAGTAGTAAATGTTCAACCAAGTCTCTTTCGTTACTCCTCACTAAGATATTGACAGTAGTAAAGAAAAAACTTCAAAAGTACTGTGCAACAATAAATTCAAGAAGATGTGTGAATCAGATGTGGATACTCAAAAATTCCAAAGATCTTTTGGGCAGTTTGAAATCACAAGATTTTACCAAAATCAACAGCTTAAAAACTTACGATTTTTTAACATTATACACAGCCCTTACCCGCAATAAAATAATGCCCAGGCTTTTGATATCATTGGCAGCTGCTTTTTCAATACAAAAAGGAACTCGTAAATTTACCTACCTGTTTATTGGTCATTTGCAAAATCAAAACACACTTTGATTGCACACATAAGTACTCTGATGTTGACATCAAAGAGATGCTTGAATTTCTGATTGATAATATCTCTGTAGTTTAAGGAGAACAGGTATTCCAACAATCTATTTGAATTCCAATGGGTACCAATTGCGCTCTGTTTAAGCATACTTTTTGGTGCGCCAAGATCAATAGATCCGAGGCGTATATTGTTTTGTCCTGTCTGTTTGTCTTTTGTCAACTTTAACCTTTTAACCTCGAGAGACAGAGACTTCCTATTTGGTATGCGTACTTCACTAATAAAGTTAGTTCAAAAGACACCAAGGTCAATCATCTTATGACCTTGACTGTGACCTACATGCTAAGGATAGCTTTTTCGAACTTTTGCCATAACTTTCGAACCAAGGAAGATAGAGTCTTCATATTTGATATTACACACTTCACAAATTGAGCTCATTTGAATGACGCTAAAGTCCATGACCTTGTGACCTTGACTGTGGCCTATATGCTAAATATAGATTTTTTCGAACTTTCGCCATAACTTTTGAACCATAAGAGATACAGACTTCATTTTTCGTAAGCCTAATCCACTGATACATTTCTTTTAAATGACTTGAAGATCAATGACCTTGTGAGCTTTACTGTGACCTTTAGGCTATAATCAGTTTTTGGGACTTTGTTGCCGCCGGGCGCATAGTGTTTTACAACCACATCTTGTTATATTCATATGATGCAGAATGTGTGCAAAATCTTTTGCGCGAAAAGAAATAAACACTTGCTTTGGCCTTCAACTATACATTTAGATATATCGACGACGTATTTTCAATCAACAATGGTTATTTCCATTCCTACGTCGATATGATATATCCTGGGGAGCTTTAGATAAAAGATACCACAAAGTCTGACACATTTGTTTCATATATGAATATCTTACTTGAAAAAGACGTTAATGGTAATCTAACAACCAAACTACATGATAAACGTGATGATTTTAATTTTTCTATCATCAACTTCTCTTACTCATGCAGCAATACATGTACACCTTCATTTCTGCATACAGAGTATATATAAAACTCAGTTGATTCGATATTCAAGAGCATCCTCTACGTACGAACAATTTCGAAAACGAGGTAAATTATTGAGAAGCAAGTTGATGAAACAAAAATATCAGCAGTCTCGTTTAAAATCATCATTTCATAATTTCTAAGGTCAATAACATGACATTGTTAGCAAATACAATTTTTCATTGAGTCATATGATGGCTGGCGATTTTCATACTAATTGTTAGTCCATTATCTATACACTGAATTGACGACGGATTTTTTCCATTATTCCCTGATAATGACAAGGAGCACACAGCAGGTGCGACCGGTCAGCAGGGAATGCTCACTCCTCGATGGCACCTGACCCAACCTCACGTTTTGCTAAGTAATTTTACATAAAACGCATTCAAAATCAAAACAGAAAATCTTTTTTTCTGTTTTAAGCATATTGCCCTTAGGTATTGACAAAACTCAACAAATAATACAGTTTACAAGATATTTATTGGTGCGAATATTTGAAGTTTAAAGAACGCAAACCGTCGTTTACATAGTTAGATTTTACGGAGTAAATTTCCTCCGAAAACCTAGCACTGAAACAGTTTTCACTACAACATTACAATTTGAAAAAGGCAAAAATCTACAGGGTAAATTTCCTCTCAAAAATGACACTGATACAGTTAACATACAGTAGTCAATTCAAGAGCGACTGTCCATGATATAAAAAGATTTTTCGGAGTAAATTTCCTCCCGAAAATTATCACTTATAGAGTATTCACTACAAACAATTACAAATTGAAAATAGCAAAAATCTAGAGAGTAAATTTCCTCTCTAAATTCACATTGGTGCATTGTACATTCAGTATGTCAATACCAAATCAACCACCGTTTACATAGCTAGATTTTACGGAGTAAATTTCCTCCCATAGAATTTCACTGATACAGTGTTCACTACTTTAGTTACAGTTTGTAACTAACAAAAATCCAGAGAGTAAATTTCCTCTCTAAATTCACGTTGGTGCATTGTTCATTCAATATTTCAATGCCAAATCAACCATCGTTTACATTGCTAGATTTTACGGAGTAAATTTCCTCCCAAAGAATTTCATTGATACAGTTTTCTCTACTAACATTACAAATAAGTACTAACAAAAATCTACAGAGTAAATTTCCTCTCTAAATTGACGTCGGTGCATTGTACATTCAGTATTTCAAAGCCAAAAAAAACATCGTTTACATAGCTACATTTTACGGAGTAAATTTCCTCCCAAAGAATATCACTGATACATTGTTCAATACTATATTTCAAAATAGAAAAACACTCTACAGGGTAAATTTCCTCTCAAAATGCACGTCGGTGCATTGTACATTCAGTATTTCAAAGCCAAATCAACCATCGTTTACACAGCTAGATTTTACGGAGTAAATTTCCTCCCAAAGAATTTCAATGATACAGTGTTCACTACTAACATTGCAAATAAGTACTCACAAAAATCTACAGAGTAAATTTCCTCTCTAAATTGACGTTGGTGCATTGTAAATTCAGTATTTCAAAGCCAAAAAAAAAACATCGTTTACATAGCTACACTTTACGGAGTAAATTTCCTCCCAAAGAATATCACTGATACATTGTTCACCACTACATTTTAAAATAGAAAAAAATTCTACGGATTAAATTTCCTCTCAAAATACACGTTGCTGCATTGTACATTCAGTATTTCAAAGCCAAATCAACCATCGTTTACACAGGTAGATTTTACGGAGTAAATTTCCTCCCAAAGACTATCACTGATATTATGTACACAACTACATTACAATTTAAAAATAGCAAAAATCTAGAGAGGAAATTTCCTCTCTAAATGACATTCATACAGTAAACATACAGTAGTCAATTCAAAAACAAGACTTTACGGAGTAAATTTCCTCCCCAAGAATTTCACAGATAGAGTGTTCACTACTTACATTAAAGTTTGTTATTAACAAAAATCTAGAGAGTAAATTTCCTCTCTAAATTCACGTCGGTGTATTGTACATTCAGTATTTCAATGCCAAATAAACTATCGTTAACATAGCTAGATTTTATGGAGTAAATTTCCTCCCAAAGAATATCACTGATACAGTGTTCACTACTATCATTATAGTTTGTTATTAACAAAAATCTAGAGAGTAAATTTCCTCTCTAAATTCACGTCGGTGTATTGTACATTCAGCATTTCAATGCCAAATAAACTATAGTTAACATCGCTAGATTTTATGGAGTAAATTTCCTCCCCAAGAATTTCACTGATAGAGTGTTCACTATTTACATTACAGTTTGTTATTAACAAAAATCCAGAGAGTAAATTTCCTCTGTAAATTCACGTCGATGCATTGTACATTCAGTATTTCAATACCAAATCAACCATCGTTTATGCAGCTAGATTTTACGGAGTAAATTTCCTCCCAAAGACTATCACTGATATAATGTTCACTACCAAATTACAATTTGAAGAAGGCAAAAATATACAGGGTAAATTTCCTCTCAAAAATGACACTGATACAGTTAGCATACAGTAGTCAATTCAAAAGCGAATATCCTTGATATAACAATATTTTACGGAGTAAATTAATCCCAAAGAATATCACTGATGCAGTATTCACTACAACAATTACAATTTGAAAATAGAAAAAAATTTACAGAGTAAATTTCCTCTCTAAACTCACATTGGTGCATTGTACATTCAGTATTTCAAAGCCAAAGAAACCATCATTAACATGCTAGATTTTACATTCATTATTCGCAGATAGAAAATAAACATTATATATAGAAAACAGCAGAATATCAGAGGGTTAATTTCCTAAAAAAACTTTTTACAGGAAAAAAAACATACATTTTACATTTTATTCAATAAATGACTTTCGGGGACATTTTTATCTCAATATACTAATGATGAAATACATTATTGTTTAATCTATAAATAAATAACAAAGAATCTTTACAAACACATACAGTTTTTTTTTATTTCAAGGCGTATTCAACGAGGGGAGGGGGTTCAGTGCGCATGCAGTAGCATGGTGTTGTCACAAAAAATATCTCAAAGTACGTTGAAAACTGTATTGTCCAGTCTATATCCGCGAAGAAAAAAGGTGAAGGAAGCAAGTCCCTCTCGTGATTATTGTCGAACAGTTTGATTTCAAACACATCTATCACATTTACTTTCTTTGACCGAAGCGATACTTCTATGCCTTCCTTATGGCTGATGCCATTGAACACTTGCTGAATGCATTCCCAAAATGTCCAATGGAAATATGGCCGTCATATTTTGAACAAATCCATAGTTGACCTATTGATAAAATTTTTAAACTCGTAAATCATCTTATATAATTGTTTTCAAACTTTCAATTTTTTAAAACTCATGGGCATTTATTTCTTGAGGCATGCCAGATTACATAATGTGCACCACAGTCGAGTAGTGTTGCTTGCACAAATTTTGTAAAATTGAAAAATAGTTTTTCCGTTGGTTTTCCGTATGAAAATTTCATTCTTCTAAAGAACGCGTACATATACCCTCAGTCTACACACACGTTTAGACAAACTAAGACAAGATAGATTTTATTTGAGAATGATGTCCCTTTATCATATGAATCCAGATCATATACTATAGCATGAAACACGATTTTGCATTCAGATGAGTTCAGACAGGACATATGCAATTAAAACACGTATTACTACCGCCATTAATTTTAAAAGGTTCAGAGAGGTTAATGATAACATGTACATGCATGCGGGTAGTTTTACTCCAAATAAAATGATAGCTAAAGTGTTTAGCATTTCACACAATAAAGAAAGCAACCACGTTGACCAAGGATCGAAATCCTCATGAACTGTAGTTAAGGGTAGAATTCATCTGAAGACACTACCTTAAATACACTTCATCGTAACATACACATAATTATATAATTGCAAATTTACCTTTATATTATTCAATTTTTGGTCTTGGTTTCCTTATTTTTCCATTCATCAGAAAAGAGTCACTTTTATACCCAGTCGTCACTTAAACCACTCCTGAAATAATGTGGGGCAGTGTAACTTGGATTTCTTTCTCTAACTTGTTTCGTGTTGTCTGTGACTTTGAAGCAGAATGCAAATATCCGATGCCGCAAATTTCAAAACTGCCATACACACAAATCTTATATATGTAGGATTTGAAACGGGAAACGGAAAAATAAGCTGTTTTAACACAGAACTTAAAAAACATATCCATCGTTTTCAAGATAAATGAATTAGGTTGTTGTGAGAGAAAATTGTGATAGTCTAATGGCTTCTCATCATTTAACCATTTTCATTTCCGCTGTGAATCCCCGCTGTTACACTTGTAATCAACCCTTTGTATTGGATAGAGCTGCGGCCATGTCATAATAAACTGGCCTAAATTAAAGTGTAATTTCAACATTTTCTCATCTCCAAAATCTAAGCCTGTGAAACGCACTAGTTGCCACACTATTACTTACAATTTGTTGATATTTAACATTATACTCTGTTGTGAGTGCATTAACCTTATCTACTCGTGTCGTGTGAAAATTAGCGACATCAATCAACCAAACTTGTAAGAGATTTATTAGGACCCGACACTCCAAACCACACTTTTAGTAGATATGATTTTTTGCATAGAGCAGATTAATATCTGATTTGAATTATGCAAGTAGTTGTAGAGTGTTTCGGCTATTAAGAAGCCTCTTCAGGGGTCACGGACATAAATCATGGTGTTTGTTTTAGGTGAGACCGGATTATCTCGTCACCTATATTATTGTGTTTGCTGTAAGCAATGATTGGTTGAGAATTAAATAAAGTTTTGCATTCTGGATTTCTAAGAATGGTGTTCCAATATTTCAGAATTCGTTTTTTCAGTCCTTTAACGCAAGGGTTAAATTTAGTAACCAGTACTGTAGGGTTACGTAATGACTGTTCTTTAGTCTTTTTGATGATGAGTTTTGATCGGTTTGTGTTGATCGTTTCCTTGATGATAGGATCAATTTCCGAAGTAGAGTAGCCTCGCTTTGATAAGTGCGTCTTGAAGTCATTAAGTGTTGCATGTAATATTTCAGGGTCAGTGGTGTTTCTTGCATGTCTAATGCATTCTCCTTTAATGAATCCTTTAAACACAGCTGGGCTATGAGCGCTCTGTCTGTGTAGATATTGAAAGTTATTTGTTGGTTTGATAAAGGACTTGATATCAAGTTTGTTAAAATTTTGAAATTTCTGTCCTTTATAAACTGTAGTATCAAGGAAATTGACAGCAGATGGAGAAATTTCAAACGTAAATCTTAGATGTTTGTGACACTGATTGCCGATATTAAAGAATTCTTCTATCTCTGGTTGCGTTCCATTGAATATTATGAAACCGTCATCACGGTATCTGCCGTGGAAGACAATTTTGCTGGCATGACGAAATTGTGCCATTATATGCTTTGTAATTTGATACATTCTGATGTCGCAGATCTCTGGACTGGGGACTGCCCCCATACTTGCTCCTATTATTTGTTTGTAATATTTTCCGCCGAATTCAAAGTAATTGTTTTCCAAGACGCATTTCAGTAAGAAGTTTAGATCCTCAGGGTCCGGATATGGAATGTCTAATTGCGTTTTATTGGCCTGTGTGTAAGCCTCATTTACTGATGAGAGAAGCTCGTTGAATTCCATGTTTGTGTACATGCTCGTCACATCATAAGTAATTAATAATGCGTTTGTTGGCAGTGTAAGGCTTTCGATTTTGGTGATGAAGTCCGTAGTGTCCTTAATATAAGTTGATTGTTTTTGTACAATAGGTACCAGAAAATAATCGCAATATTGTCCTATTTTCCTTGTTGGCGTATCGCATTGCGAGATAATTGGTCTACCAGGTGGTAATTTCCTAATGCTGCACTGGCCGTTTATTAGAGCATTATAAATGTTTGCTGGTATTTTATGGGTTTTAGGTAAAAGGTATAAGTGCCCACATTTGAGTGAAGGCTTTTTGTCATTAAAGAACTTATAAGTGTCTTTGTCCAGTGACCCATTAGTATGCATTTCGGCAAGTTTATTTTGAATACTGTCATGCAATGTAAGCATGTTGGGTTCAGATACTTGCATATAGTGTTTAGATTGCAATTGGCGTTGTGCTTCTAAGACATACTGATCCTTGTTCATGATGACAATAGTGTTGCTTTTATCTGCTTTTTTGATAACAATGTCGCTGTTATTTTTAAGAGATAAAATAGCTGCTTTTTCAGACTCTGAGATGTTCGATTTCTTTTTTACAATTTCCATTGAGGAAAGTTCCAGTTTTGTTTTATCTATATATTCCTCGAGTTCGCTGCATGTAAATGGCGGTTTGTAGCCAGATTTCGTTTTAAAGGGATGAATTGTAGTGTTGTCTCCGGTATCAAAGTGGAATTTGCATCTGAGTTTTCTAGCAAATTCCTCAAAGTCATTGAGAAGTATGTTTTTAGCATTGTTGCTTTTAGGCGTTGGAATGAATTTCAAGCCTTTACTCAGTAAGGAAAGTTCATGTTCGGATAAGTTGTATCTTGATAGATTTAAAACAAACTTTTCCCCTGTTGCCATTGTTTTTTTGCAATGAGCTTTAACTCCCCGTAGATAATTACAGGTGCGTTTAGCACTTTTGCTTTGTTTACTCCGTCTATTTAATCGTCGAGCCATTTATATAGAGGAGCAGCAGGTGGTAGATATTTGTGTTGAGCGAGGCGCTATAGAACACCGATTAGTATTTTTGATAAAATTGCAAGTCCGTCTAATTATCAATGTGTTGATAGATTAGAGGACGGCGAGAGAATGTGGCTATAGGAAACTGATAGCCAGATTTTGGTGATTGGTTATGGTCAGTTGGGAGGGGCTTTGTTTGTTTACGAGCATGGCCAATAGATGGCTGTTTTGTGCATTTCTTGAAGATGTATAATCCGTCTGATATACGTAGTTAAATATAAAAGAGGCGGCAATAAGTATCCGTCTTAATATCATATGATGATAAAAAGAGGATTAATATTATTATTACAAGATTATCAAAATTGACACAAGTAAAGTACGATTTCAGACCAAACATATGAACTGATGAATGAGATACTAGACTTGGCATTGGTGATTACATAAATAAATTTAATTGTGACATCAATAACAGAGACATAAATGTAAGTCTGCTGAATAGTAATGTACTCCACAGGCATGGTATTAAATAAAAGTCCGTCACTATGTACATCGTATGGAGGTGGCGTAAAAAAGTCCATAATATGCTCGTTGTGTAGAGCTCAGCGCCAGGTAATTAGGTTGTGTTAATATGGCCTTTTACGCTGCATGTAGCGGTGGCCGCGGTATTGGTAGTGGCTCTCATTCCTTGGTCGGTCGTGGGATTTGTTATTGGCCGGTTTGTTGGCTGGGTGGCTAGGTCTAGACGGGTGGCTTGGCAAAGTCTGGAGTTTGGCTCTGTGGTCATGTAATTCAGAAGTGTGTTTTCTAGTGATGGCCTTGATAGCCTCGTCCAATTTAGATTTTTCTGCCGCAAAGGTATATATATCCATCTAATTCTTCTTTTCTTTGTCTAAGGAAGTCTCCCCTAAGCCTGTTGCTCTCTGCCTCCTTTTCTTGGATTGAGTTATCAAGAAATGTGATTACAGAGTTGGCAAAGGAACTGGTGGTTTCTTGCTGTAGTTCCTTTAAGGACGAGGCAAACTTCGTGTTTTCCTCCTTGGGGAGGCTCAGTTCGCAATGGAGCTTGGCTCCAAACCAAGACGGAAACCTGCCCGATCTAAGTCCGTGGGAGATACTTTCTTTCCGCTTGGCGTATAGAAGTCGACTCGATAGGATTCCATCGATTTTTTCTAAGATTTTCAAGTTTGAGGCAGCCACTGTACTGTCGGACTCCGGCAGATTGATGGACATATCCAAATCGTTTATGATTGCTTCCTGGTTTGAAGGTACCTGGTCCTTCATGACATCCATGTATTCACAGTTTGCCATAGTTGTAGGTTTGTGTTTGAGCGATAGCTTGTTGAAGCGTAGGTACATAGTAGCAGAATGAGGGGTACTGGTACATGTCAACATACTAGAATCAGTTGATGAATTTGATTTAAACGAGAGTCGAAACGAACAGTCTTTGAAGTTGCAATTCATTCCTTTACAGACAAGTGCTAATTTGGTAAAGGAAGTGCTGGTAATAAAATGTCTTAGAAGACAAAAGAAGCAAAAGTGTGGCCGGATTGTTGGATGACCAAATAAACCACACAAGTCGATCGCTGTCCAAGGGAGGGCGATGCACGGGATGATGCCGGTGGGACATTGTCCCTAGTCAAAGTGTGAAAATTAGCGACATCAATCAACCAAACTTGTAAGAGATTTATTAGGACCCGACACTCCAAACCACACTTTTAGTAGATATGATTTTTTGCATAGAGCAGATTAATATCTGATTTGAATTATGCAAGTAGTTGTAGAGTGTTTCGGCTATTAAGAAGCCTCTTCAGGGGTCACGGACATAAATCATGGTGTTTGTTTTAGGTGAGACCGGATTATCTCGTCACCTATATTATTGTGTTTGCTGTAAGCAATGATTGGTTGAGAATTAAATAAAGTTTTGCATTCTGGATTTCTAAGAATGGTGTTCCAATATTTCAGAATTCGTTTTTTCAGTCCTTTAACGCAAGGGTTAAATTTAGTAACCAGTACTGTAGGGTTACGTAATGACTGTTCTTTAGTCTTTTTGATGATGAGTTTTGATCGGTTTGTGTTGATCGTTTCCTTGATGATAGGATCAATTTCCGAAGTAGAGTAGCCTCGCTTTGATAAGTGCGTCTTGAAGTCATTAAGTGTTGCATGTAATATTTCAGGGTCAGTGGTGTTTCTTGCATGTCTAATGCATTCTCCTTTAATGAATCCTTTAAACACAGCTGGGCTATGAGCGCTCTGTCTGTGTAGATATTGAAAGTTATTTGTTGGTTTGATAAAGGACTTGATATCAAGTTTGTTAAAATTTTGAAATTTCTGTCCTTTATAAACTGTAGTATCAAGGAAATTGACAGCAGATGGAGAAATTTCAAACGTAAATCTTAGATGTTTGTGACACTGATTGCCGATATTAAAGAATTCTTCTATCTCTGGTTGCGTTCCATTGAATATTATGAAACCGTCATCACGGTATCTGCCGTGGAAGACAATTTTGCTGGCATGACGAAATTGTGCCATTATATGCTTTGTAATTTGATACATTCTGATGTCGCAGATCTCTGGACTGGGGACTGCCCCCATACTTGCTCCTATTATTTGTTTGTAATATTTTCCGCCGAATTCAAAGTAATTGTTTTCCAAGACGCATTTCAGTAAGAAGTTTAGATCCTCAGGGTCCGGATATGGAATGTCTAATTGCGTTTTATTGGCCTGTGTGTAAGCCTCATTTACTGATGAGAGAAGCTCGTTGAATTCCATGTTTGTGTACATGCTCGTCACATCATAAGTAATTAATAATGCGTTTGTTGGCAGTGTAAGGCTTTCGATTTTGGTGATGAAGTCCGTAGTGTCCTTAATATAAGTTGATTGTTTTTGTACAAAAGACTAAAGAACAGTCATTACGTAACCCTACAGTACTGGTTACTAAATTTAACCCTTGCGTTAAAGGACTGAAAAAGGACTGAAAAAACGAATTCTGGAAATATTGGAACACCATTCTTAGAAATCCAGAATGCAAAACTTTATTTAATTCTCAACCAATCATTGCTTACAGCAAACACAATAATATAGGTGACGAGATAATCCGGTCTCACCTAAAACAAACACCATGATTTATGTCCGTGACCCCTGAAGAGGCTTCTTAATAGCCGAAACACTCTACAACTACTTGCATAATTCAAATCAGATATTAATCTGCTCTATGCAAAAAATCATATCTACTAAAAGTGTGGTTTGGAGTGTCGGGTCCTAATAAATCTCTTACAAGTTTGGTTGATTGATGTCGCTAATTTTCACACTTTGACTAGGGACAATGTCCCACCGGCATCATCCCGTGCATCGCCCTCCCTTGGACAGCGATCGACTTGTGTGGTTTATTTGGTCATCCAACAATCCGGCCACACTTTTGCTTCTTTTGTCTTCTAAGACATTTTATTACCAGCACTTCCTTTACCAAATTAGCACTTGTCTGTAAAGGAATGAATTGCAACTTCAAAGACTGTTCGTTTCGACTCTCGTTTAAATCAAATTCATCAACTGATTCTAGTATGTTGACATGTACCAGTACCCCTCATTCTGCTACTATGTACCTACGCTTCAACAAGCTATCGCTCAAACACAAACCTACAACTATGGCAAACTGTGAATACATGGATGTCATGA